AGACATGAAAAAAAAACTCAATTTCGTCAGTTGGCCCAGGAGAACGGAATATACAGAACTGTCCCCTCTTCCTCCCCTTTTTCTTTTTCGCGGTGTACATATACATGCATACATGAATCCACCCATCCATAGATTTCTGAATCCGGGCCTGATAACTGAATACTTATTTGTGTGTATGTAAGACAGATAAAACAAAATTAATTATAACTTAAATTAGAAATAACTCTTTAATTCTCCATTTTATTATGGGTATTTCCCCTCTAATCACAGTAATAACTTTTTCTGGACAGCGTCATTTTTACAGTAATCCATATCATGTGAGTTTTACTTAACGATGATGATATAGCTAATTCCGAACTTAAAATTTCCTGAACCGAACCCTCTGCTATATAATAAGCTGCTATATTGGATAACTACGTACTTTGCTTTTGTTTCTCAGCGAATGTACTCCTTCTTGTTATTCTCTTCTAACAAAAGAACTGTAAAAAATGTAAATGTTTTAAAATAAGCACAATTAGAATGCCAAGCGAACTGTGGCTGCTAATATCAATTGAAATACAAATGAATATTTAATTTGCCTCGGCTGCCAAGTTTGCTCTTCTTACGGATATATATGTAGAATTAAAACTGAAAAAATTATGTAAGTGTGTATGCTATTCAAACAATATTTTGCGCAAATGCTGTTAAGATTGACATAAAATAATTATCTAATTAAATTAAAACTAAACAGGCAAAGAAATGAATTAAAACGTTAAAATTTAGATAAATTACTAAAAACGTTAAGTAAAGTTAGTAAAATATATTCAATTAACTTGGACTGAGTTGGAAACGTAATTACATAAAAATATAAACAATACGCAATACAAATATTGAATACAGTAGCGAAAATTGTATTATCACTATCAGATTCAAACTTTTTCAAGAGGTGGAAGAATCTCAGACGATATAACCGCTTTTCTTAGTATAATCAGGTATGTTTCTATTCGCTTCTAATTAATCGAAACACCGAAATAAATTATTTTAAATTATTTGCACCTCTAAAAATTAAAAAAGTCGCCTCTATTCAATTAATCTGTCAAAACAAAAGTAAATCAACAATAATTCTTCAGATAAAAATTCAATGAATCAAATATTCGTATGCAAAAAAAAAAAAATGGCTGAAGTACCAACAAGAAATTCTAAACAAGAAAACCTGTTAACAATGGCAAAAGATAAAATGGAATTTTATACAATCTGGAATTAATTAAATTAAACTTTCGTCTAATTCAACTTATTCGTGACAAAATACCAAAATAAATAATCAAATAAGCCAGGAAAAACTGTACTTACTCTCAAGCTGAAATCAGGAAAAGATGACCAGCACAAATTGTTAGTTAAAAAAGGAGTCAGTAAATCTGGGTTACTATTGGCGAGTTTTAATCTTACTAAGAAATACTGGTGGAAGAAGTTTCATTCTACAGAAAAACTACAGTTTTCAAATGAATTAAATACTTACATAAATTATTAAATTCCGGCAAAACCTAAGAAAAATGAAAAAAAAATCTGAAACTTAGTGATATTTTTTTTTTTTTTTTTTTTTCCCCATACAATGTTGCCATTGCTCGCTTTGAAATCGCCGAGTTACTTAATCGAAAATTCAAGTTTAAAAAGCATGAAATAGATAATAAAACAAATTCGAAATTCAAGATTTAGGCTTCCATGTGCCCATGTTCGGTTGGAGGGCTACGTTATTCAGAATTGGACGGCTCTGGGCATCACTGTTTTTTCAGAATGCGAGAAACATACATACATTCATGCAGATTCTTCATTATTTAATTTCTTTAAATATAATACAGGCCGATAACACTCGTATTTAGTGGCAACAATTTGAAAAGTGATACAGTGATAGTGATTCCACGCAAAATGCCGTTTCGAGACAAATCTGGGCTAAGAAAAATATATTATAACTGAGTAAATGTTCTTCACGCTTTTTTGGCTTCAAAAGCGACGTTTTCAGAATCTGATATTGTCCATTTTATAGTGAATGTAAGAGCCAGAATTTGAGAAAGTAATTAGATAAATTTGTAGAAAATTACAAAATTTACATTTACGCATACTAATCTTTCTCTGCCACTTCCTCTTGCTAGGTTTACCGGCCTCAATGCATCCTGTTAGGTTTAAGATTGTTCTGCATTATGCGATAAAACATTCATATTTCATAGCCTGCTCCAGAGTTCGTGGCCCACCAGCGGCCGAGCGGTAGAGTCGCTGAACACTGGTAGTTCGGTCCGAGGTTCGAATCCCGCGAACGGGCTGGCTGCATGGGCGTTTTCGTGGTTTTTCCCATGTGTAACGTGTATACGAGCCAGTTTCTCTTAGAAAGTCCTCCACGAAGGCATCCCTCCCCTTAGGCAGATAGCCCTCGAGGCTTTGCCATAATCACACACCAGAGTTCGTGAACTTTTTATAGTTGTCAGAGGCTGCGAAATGAAAGCATTTCTTTCTGCCGTTGCTCCACTTCTGTACAAATAGTTTAAAATGTCTGTGAAAGTAGTATCACAGTAGTAATAGGAGTTCGTATAAAAAATATTTAACAAATAACTTAAAATAATTAAGTTCGATGCCTCAACTGATTAGAAGCAAACAGAAAACGTATCTGATTATGTCAGAAAAAGCTGTGATATAGGTGTGAGATTCTTCCACCTTTTGAAAAAAATTGAATATGACAGTAACAATACAGCCTTTTCCTAATTATATTTACCGTATATACCCGCGTATAAGTCGACCCCCCACTTCCGAAATCGATCGAGAAACTTCGAAAAAATTGTTTTAAGTACTACATTTATTCAAAATCATCTGAGAAAAAAAAAAGTAAATATACGATAAAAAATACCTTGGTAAATAAACAAAATCAAAATCCGTCAACGTCCGATTCATGGTCAGATTCGCCAAACATTTCATAGAACTCTTCTGTCGTCATTGGCTCGTCATCATACATATTTTCAGTCTCGAACTCTGTATTGTACGATCACTACTAGAGCCTTCGTCGTCATTTTCACTTTCAAAAACAGGATCATATTCCGTGCCGTCTACTTCGTTGCTAATACAACATTTTCTAAATGATTTTATAATCATTTCAGAGGGTATTTCGTTCCAAGCATCTTTAACCCACTGAGCAATTAATGTAATATCGTTCTTTTTAATGTTGCCTCCCTTTGTAAATGTTGGTCGACCGGAACTAATCCACTCTGCCCAATATTTCCTAACATTTACTTTGAAAGGCTTATTGAGGCAGACATCCAGGGGTTGAATGACGGATGTCAATCCTCCCGGAATTAGAGCCAAATTTTTAATTTTACATTTTTAAATTTTGACGTGTACGCCTGTTAACAAAAGTATTTCATGAATGAACAATAACTATTACGTACTTAAAAACTATCTGCATTTCTCTTTTCTTGGCGTGTTGGCGAAACTTTTTTATTGCTCGATATTGATCGGTTGTTCGGGGCCGAAAATTCTTTGGTTTAATCGAAAGTTACTCTAGTTAAAGTATGAAACTCTGTGATTAGTTCGTCACATAATTTAAGTCATGAAATTACGTCAAGTAAGTGACTTATTTGATAAGTCGTCCAATTTGAGTGCGGGAAGAGTGTGTGTGTATTTTAATTATGGCTATCTGCCTAAGGGGAGGGATGCCTTCGTGGAGGACTTTCTAAGGGAAACTGGCTCGTATACACGTTACACATGGGGAAAACCACGAAAACACCCATGCAGCCAGCCCGTTCGCGGGATTCGAACCTCGGACAGAACTACCAGTGTTCAGCGACTTTACCGCTGAGTGCGGGAAGAAAACAACTGCATTATATAAAGAAATTTTTGAACTTCCGATTCTTTTAAATTTTTAGGGCCCCGCGTATAAGTCGACCCCCCCCCCCCACTTTGAAGTCTTTTTTTTTTTTTTTTTTTTTTTTTTTTTTTTTTTTTTTTTTTGTCCAAAATATCTCGACTTATACGCGGGTATATACGGTAATATCTGTATTGAGTAATTTTTATATTTTTACATAGATACTTTTCCAAATCAGTTGTGCTTAATTTAACAGATCCCACTAATTTAAACTTTTTAATTATTTGTTCAAATTTCAGCTTTTTAGTTCATTCTTTGCCTGTTTAGTTTAAAATTTAACTTAATTAAATAATTGCATATATTCAGCTCAGAAGACAAATTATTATGCACGCCTACAATGCTACTATGTGAATAATCACAAAGGGAACCAAAAGACTAGGAGACCAAAAGACCAAAAGACTAGCTGCCAATGAGTGCCAATCGGTGCCAATGAGTATAAATATCAGAGCTTCAACAAGCACACTAAAAATATTTTTTCATGAGTAAAGGCAGCAACTTGAGTATAGTCCGTCTATCATAAGAAAAGCTCCCGCCAGTTAGTCTGCAGCTGTCTGTTGCTGTAGAAACGTGCCTTAACCCATTTTATGTAGGGGTGTCTCGGAGATTTACTTTTCAGTTTGCCAGCTTGGCACATTTAAAGATGAATTGGTAACCCTTGGTTTGCCCCTATTTGAAATATACTAGCCCTGTTGCTAAAGCGACCGCCACCTTCCAGACACTGAGGCAAGAGCTGTTCTTGTAGACAGACAGTAAGTTTGGATCATGTTGACGCTCCACATTTTCAACAGAGGTTCGCTTATCGAAGGTCGTTATTGTGATGAAGTTATCCTGCCTCACATCTGTCATTTCTGGAATGCCATAGGTCCCGATTTTGTTTCCATGGATGACAATGCACAGCTACACAGGACTCATTCTGTTGAGGAGCTGCTGGAAAGTGAAAATTGTAAAGTTCCTTTTACGTATATTAACCGGTTTTTTATGATTTATTATTTTTCTTAAATTTCAATTTTAAACTTTCCATAATAAAATGAAGATGATATTTAACAGCCAAACAATGTGACAAAACTTGAAATCTGTACTTCTTACGTTCATTTTGATATACATATCACAACAATGATTAATTTAAAATTATTTATTTAAATAATGCAATTGTAAAAAGATAAAGTTATCATTGCTCATCTTCTTTCTTTCCTATTTTATCTACATTTTTTATTAAACCTTCAGGATCATTTTTATAAAGCATAAAAACTCCTTGAACTTCTGCCATGCTCACATCTCTGTTCAATGCTATTACTGCATTTGCAAATTCTTCTGCAGAACTGATTGCCATGTCTGGATAAAACCTTTGAAACATTTGTTTGAGTTGATAAGCTGTTGCAAATCCTACATATTCTTTAACATCTACTCGTCCGGGACGTACTAATGCTGCATCTAATCTGTAAATGAAATAATAATTTTTTTAATAAATGCTTCCAAATCTTTTTAAATATCAAAATATCAATAGTATACAAAAACTACTAAATTTAATACAGAAAACCCATGGATGTAGGAAGTAAGATAGAGTGGCCCTAACAGGTTTTCCCCATACACTGCTTTGAAGCACTGGTGATCCCTTCGTGATGACCAAAACATTGGGTCATTTACCATGAAATTCAATGGGTTTTGACACGATCAAATGCAAACATTTTGTAATTACGTCGTAAATATACATATAAATGCATATATTTTCTTTTTCCACAATGTTTCAAAGTTCTAAGTATAAACAACATTTCATTCTGAACAGAATTAAATGCTATACTTTTCACAGAACAGTTTCCTCAGAACGGTTTAATTTGAATGAAATATTTTCAAAAATTTTCCGTAATTACATTAAAAAATTTTAAGGTAATTCGATTTTATTCTGTTAAGGATTACAAAAATTAACATCAAAGTTTACTGTACTATTAATATTAAAATTATGCATTATTTCTTTTCTAGAGCTTCTTACTAAAATACTTTCTCAAATATGACATGATTTTCTAGCTTCTGAGGCATCTTTTAAATCGAAAAATCTAAGTCAATTTATAATTAATGCTCTATTCGGTCCATTTCAAATTAGAGCTTTTATTTTAATAGCAAAATATGTTAAATAGTACTTAACTTTCTCTGAATATTTCTGAAAGGGAATAAGAAAAGAATTTTTTTAATATTATTTAAAACTTGTAACTGAGTTATTATAAAATTTTAAGGGGAATAATTCTTTTAATTATATTTATCAGATTTTTTTACCATTAATTTCAACAATACATATTCTAAAACTATTCTTTATTACTTTCTTAATACTCATCTCAGAGAATTTGCTTTGCATTACCTTTTAACAGATTGCTTTCCAGTACAAACAATCAATAAGAAGACCATTCATGATCCGACCTCCTTTGGCAGGATACACAAATGTTTTCACCTCCGTCGATTACACTATTTTCAAATTCATAATAAGCTGTCTTGATGATGTGCCGCATTCACATGGTCACATCATCTTGACCGCACATGGTACTTCCGCCGAATTCGCAAATGTATCCGTCTTCTCTTCCATACATTTGTGTAAAACTGTACATAATTTTACACAAACGTGGGGTTACAAATCAAGGAAAAGTTAACTTATTGGCCCATCTGTGTGATTAATTTTGACGAGGATTGCAGCATTTGGTGGTAATTTTATTTTTTAATTAACCCAAATAAGTAAAATGTGTAAACGCAAAGTGATTATTTTTAAATTATATAAAAATAAAATGATAAGTTTAAAATGAGCAACTATAAAGCCTCTCTTCTAAAAATTTTTAAAAAGAACATGTCACAATAATATGTGGATGACAAAAAAATTATTTTATGTAAAACCTTTTGGCGCTTGGAACATAAAATAAAAGTAGTGAATACTCTATTGAGGGTATCGAAAGACGCATACAGTTTTAAAGGTACCATAAGGTACTTTTCATTCTTTAAGCATAACATTTTTGCTAAAATCTATATTTTTGTAATTCAACATCTCAGAATTTTCTAAAACAAAATTCATAATTAAAATTGCTGTTATCAGTTATCGAAAAATAACCAAGATGTGATTTTTGCCTAAATGTCACTAAACTATATAAATTGCTATTATCCATCACACAATGAATGTGTCTTTTATGTGGAAATGTCTTGTTTTTCGATTTGTATGGAACTGTCGTGTGTCAAAATACTATAAGTGCTGTTAATGGAGCTTCTGAATATAAACAAAAAAACAACTCATCTCGAGACCGAAGCTTTGGAGCAGTGCTTCACTCTTAGTGCCCAGGTGGCGCTTCCTTTCTTACCTCCATGGGAAAGCCAAGGGAAAATGACCTTTTCAGAAATCATATATACATATATGCACACATTTAATTCTAGAATTCTAAACAGAAAATACATATATTGTTGTGAACTGAAGCCAGAATAGAGTGATGTCAGCTTCTAGAATGTATGGGAATCAAAGTTAGTCTTTAGTTTGGAAATGAGAACATTTTTGGTAGGTGTGTCTGTCCTTGTGTGAGTTTCGTGTGCTTCAATAAAGTGTTTTCCTGTTTTTCAGAATAATTTTTGTCTTCCTGGACTTTTACAAAACACCCCGCATTGGGCAGAAGCGAACCCATGAATTAAATTTCAGCTTTTCATTCTCAACACAAGAAAGTGGTACCCTCTGAGGAACCAGTGTTTCTGAATTGAGATATTTGAAGTTTGAATAATTCCCTTTAGATGGATTTGAATGCTTTAAAAGCACAACAGAAGGGATTGAGAACAACACTTACCCTTTGTCTGAAGAAAATTGAAAATGAGCTGGTTAGACAATATATATATTTAAATGAAGTTCCAATTTTAAGCTACAACTTATTGATAAGTTCGAGCAGTTATAGATTAGACAAGTTATAGATTTAAATGAAGTTCCAATTTTAAGCTACAACTTATTGATAAGTTCAAGCAACTTCAGTGTTCTCAGTCATTAATTTATGAGAGTTTACTAAAGACTGAAGATGGTAGGAAATTACATTAATGATTATGAAGAAGCTGAAACCTACAAAGATAGATAATTAGAAATTTGTGTTAAACTGGAAAAGAGATTGCAAGAAGCCTCTGCAGCTAGAAACAAAAAAAGAAAATTTTAATTATCAAAAATTAATAAACAACAATTATTATTAAATAAAGATGAATGTTTTTCATGTTTTAAAAAAGTAGGTCATTTAAACAAATTTTATCACTTTTTTTTCCCCCTGCACCTAAAGAAAAACAGTCTAAAAACAAAGCTATGAAACTTTTCAAGTAAGTCTAGTGTTATTCTTTTGCTTTAAAACATGCCCAGGAATTCACAATGTTAGCATTTTGGGTGAAAGCACAAGTGCAGATAAAAGAGCAGCATCAAATTCCTTGCAGAACTTGAAGAAGAAAGCGACCTTAAAGAACAAAATCTAATGTAGACCAAACTTTGTTACACTGAAGAAAGTTACCAATGAACTGTTCTCAGTGTAATAATTCTCATTTTTAGATTATGTGTCCCAAAAAGAAAATGTGTAAAGCAGAGAATTCCCTGTCTAATTGTCACAGAAGCAAAACTGCTGACTTGCAAATACTTTGCATAGTCTCAAGATCAAGAGAGAAAAATTTGTGTTTTGCTAGCTAAAGAAATTACATAAACAAATGAATTATGACATTATTGAATGTTTCTTCAACTTTAGAATGAAACTATAATGCATGTATTGTTTGGGGGGGGTGAACCAAAATCGAAGGAACATAAAGTATTTTCTGTCAATGATTTAAAAAAAATTCATAGGCTTGCAGTTTTGAATCAGAAAAAAAGACATGTGAATTTATTCCAAAAAATAATGATTGTATAATTTTAAATGACTTGAAAAGAAATAAAATAGACTTAATAGATTCTTCACATGAAGAAAATGCAACTGACCTTTTGAATGGGCTGATGAAAACTTCTGACTGAAAACTTAGTTGAGCTACTAGATTCAGGTATAAGAACCATGAAAACTAAGCGTAGGTGGATGGTAATTGGACAACAGAATTTATGTGTAAGTGATAGCATTTTAATAACTATATTAATGCATGTTGGGAATATTCCTTTAAGTGCATTATGGGAACTTGAAATTTTACGAATAGGTGATTTGTCTCAAAATGTTAAGGAGAAAGATACTTCATCTAATTCTGAAGCAAAATGAAAATTCATCCCAATGGGAGATAGGAACTAGAATTGCTATGGAAATTTAGTTCTATGCATTTGATAATAAAGAATTAATCTGAAAGAAGCATGAAAAAGTGACTAATAAAACATGTTAAACTTTTATTTGATTATCAAAAGGTATTCCAAGAATGGGGGGAAAACAAGTAACACTGAATGCATACTGGAAAATGAATTGAATAACGAATGTCACTATTTGCCTCACTGGCCAGTGATTAAATTAGATAGTAAAATTCACCCCATTTTCGATGCTTTCCACACTCTTAAACTGGCTGTTTATTTAAAGGAATTACAGTCAAAAGTCGTTAATCCGGACTCGTCGGGACTTCGGCGATTCCGAATTATCGATTTTTCCGGATTATAGATCATCAGTTTAAATCTCGTAAGATGGCATGCAGAAATTCTAAAATTAAAAATATGAAACCGTAATTTATGAAATAAAGAACAATTATGATCTAAAGGGTATCAAAATTTACAAAAAAAAAAAAAAAAAAGCTTAATATTTATTTGTTTACTTTATTAAACATTTCTTTCAATGTAAGTTGTTTAAGTTGCTTCGTTTTATGTGATAATACTTTCTCTTTAATTCTATAAACAGACATAATTTCTTGTTCAGTTACAAAGTTCTGCTGTTCCAAGTCCCGTAATTGCTGTGCCGAGAACGCCGACTAACTTGTCAATCGAAATTTTTTCGTTTTCACTAACCTCTCTGTCACCTTCTTCATGTCTTGCAGCAATTCCACTTTTTGTTTGATGGACATCGAAACGTACTTTCGTTTTGTAGATCCTTTGGGAGCTCCAGCATCGGAAATTCTATTTGACATAATCGAAAGTTCAAGTTTACTTTTATAAAATTGCTTTTACAGTCTGAAAAAAATAATAAGCCGGATCCAGTTCGAAGATTAAGGAACAACGCAATCATCAACATTAACTGAAATAAATAATTAGATAATTTTAGCTCATACCGTCCGTTATACATTAAACGCGCACGCGAAAACGTATTCTGCACTTGCACACACGCATATGCGCAGTCGTAAAGGTCTTACCGCGCACGCGTAAACGCCTATACGCATGTGTCAACGCAGCGCATGCGCAGAAAGTTTTTAGCTTTGAAGTCCGGATTATGGGTGTCCGATTTAATGACTTTTGACTGTAATCAATTTTAATATCTAATATTACTGATCATTTTAGAATGTATCCAAT